CACATATATTAAAAACCTATATCAAAACCTATATTAAAACATATATGTTTATATAGGTTATTTCCGTGTGGGATGAAGTACGAATTAGCATATAAAGGGTGAAATGCATGATAATTTCTTGACATATCGGCGCAAATGCACATAAAATACCTACGCAATCACGCTGTTACAACAATCGATTGCCGCACGTATGGCTTTTAAAAAGTGAATGCATACTTCGCCAACAGTAAAGTCAGTCCCTGGTTACAGCACACATTTCTGTTCCCTTACAGGAAAGACGACAATGGGAGACATAGTGAAAGCTACCCAATCAATTTCCAAGGCTAAGGATTACAGAGAAGACACCCAACTGATAATGCAGCCATATGCTAACTGGGAGGAGTACTTGATGCCTGCCCCATTCTCCATAGCCGTTATGGGAGAGCTGGTATTTATTTCTTCCAATGTAGATTTCTCCATCGGCCAAAAGCCTCCTACTGGTGGCTTTCAGTTCATCAAGTACCCAGACTCATTCCGAGCCTGTCTTATGCAAGTGGCTAATTCTGGATGGGCGGCATTCAATACGGCTCACACGAACATGGACCAGATCCGTCTCCACACTGCAAACGTGCCAGCTTACATCAAGACTTCAGTTCAGATATTACTACAGGACAATGATGAGCTGGTCCAAACCCTCCTTCCTGACCAACTGGAGAACATAGCTGAAATATCGAGTGAATGTGAAAAATTGGCTGAGAGAGCAGAGGAAAAGTTCAGCTTTGTTATTAGTTTGATCCAAGAACTTTTAGAAGCTTGTGTAAATGCAAAGAAGCTATATGGTGATGAACTGGAAGAAGTCAAGCGTAAAATTGAGGAGAACAAGCTGAGAAAGGAGGGTTCAGAGAAAGCCAAGGAAAGGGCTCAGAAAACACTTGATGACATGAATAAGCAGCTAGAAGTGGCACAGACGACATTTGATAAAGCAATGGATTCATTGCCATCTGGATGGGATGTGATGGGCATGAACTTTGTAGAGGGACTTGCAGAGGGTTTTGCAACTCTTTTGACCTTAGGGATGAATCAGGTGGCAAGAAGTTCAAAAGGCACAAAAGGCACAGAAGCAGAAATGAAAGATGAAAATGTCTTTGCTATGAATAATGTGCTGTCAAAATCAGGTCAGCTGCTAAAGCTGACTGAGACATTGATCAGCTTTATCGACAAAAATGAAATTCAACTGTCTAAGATATATGATCAACAGAAAGGAAAAACACAGACATCATACCTGGAGGAACAATATAAAGGGCTAAAAACCTCAGTGGAGAGTGAGAAAGACTGTAAAGTCAAAGAAGCTGCACTCAACATCTGCAAAGACGCCATTAAACTGTGCTCTGAGCTCACCGCGATCGCACCTGAAGGGCAATGCGATGCTGCCAAGACAAAAGACCTGATTGAAAGAATGCAGGAGCTGTGGAAACAGTGTCAGACATTTGACTCTCAGAGCAAAGCCTTCACAAACACACCAGTATTTACACCTCAACCCCCAAAGCAAGCTATGGAAAGTGGGTCTAAACGGGCAGGTGATATAGCGGTGGAGAATGCCCGTTTCCGCATAGAGCAGAGTCGAGCCCAGCTGGAAACGATGAGACAGAATCAAAAACAGAGCTTGGACAACCTGGAGAAAAACGAGAAGGAGCTGACAGAGATCTTAGTCATATTGCAATCCTGTAAAGTAAAA